ACCCAGTGTCTGTGCCCCCCCTCATACTAGGCCTGTGCTGGTTGGAGCCCGAAGCCTAACACTGAGCTGAGGGAACTGTTTTGGAAAAAATGAGCATTAAGTAAATTCTCATAGCTGTTTTCATGAGCCTCTCTCTTCTCATTTCTCTTTCTTCAGAATATCATGGCTGGTTGAGAGCACCAATCAGTTGTACTTTTCATCTTGAAGCAGCTATTAAGTAGCTGACTGTTACGTGTAATTTTTTTCCCCTGGATTCTGTTGTGTTTTATTCCTCATCAGCTAGAATTTACTGAACCTGACAGGCTCATAAAGTGTTTGACACTAGGATGGACCCCAAAGCAGAAGGAGTTGCCCCTGTTTGGCATGTGGGGATCAGTACAGTCATTTCCCATTTGGAATGCCAGTGAGAAAAATCCTGGACTGAGTTTGCACAGAACAGCAGCTGCCTGTGCAGGATTGCTGCAGCAGTGGGTCTGCTCCCATACTGGCCCCTGTGTGCCCACACAGGTTTGGCAGGGCAACAGCTCTCTTTGGGGCCTGCCCTGGGAGGGCTGAAGGGCAGGATGGGCATGGCTTGCCCTGCTGAATAAGGGAATCTGCACTGGATATGGAAATAGCAGAGGTGGGAGGGGAGCACGCTGTGCAGCCCCAGTGGGATCCCAGGAACCACATCATGGCAAATTCTGAGCAATTGCAGTCAGTGATGATACGGTCCCAGCAGTCGGACTGTGTGAGCCCCAGACCCACACAGAGCTGAGTGGTGACCCAGCACTTTGAAAGCACTTTGGAGGACCTGACCCTGTTTACCCATGGTATGATAGCGCTAGTAGACTGGGCATAGCACAGCTGAGCAGGGACATCACAGGTGAACCCCCAAGACCCATTTGCTGTTTGATTATGCTTTGGAATAGTTGTATTTTAAGTGCTTTTGCAGAGCAGCCTGGTAGCCTAACACCTCCATAGGGTGCAGGGTTGTATATAGAAGGCTCACGTTCCAGGAGCCCATGGCACCCCAGGCAGAGAGCAAATATTTATCAGCACTTTCAACCACTGAGAACAGCTGGCCCAAGGCCATCAGTCTGGTGCTTGCCTTGATTGTGCAAGGGATAGCAGGGTAACCTAGGCACAGGTGACACAAAACAAGACCTGTCAGCACCTCACCTCACGCCTGGGAAGGGAGCAGTGAGGGTTGCAGAGATTTCTTGGAGCCATCTGGTTTCTATTGTCACAGGTCAGGGAACAGATAATACTGCTCACACCATTTTACCGGCCTATGTGACTGAGTGGCCTGTGTGACAAAGCCAGCACAGAGCGAGCTTGTGGTACCTGCTGGTACCTCTGGTGCGACAGGAGAGGTTGGACTGCAGGTGCTGGGAGCCAAGCCGGCTGCAGGCACAGTGACCTGCTGCTGGCTGCTCTTGCATGGGGCACAGCACAGCCCCACCACACTCTCCTGGGCATACAGCAGAGCTGGGGGGAGCAGAGCGCAAGGGTCTGGCAGCAGCTCCTGGCCCGGTTGCACCAGGAGAGTATTTCATTTTTGGTGTTACAGTGAGAGCTACAGTGAATTTACAGTGTGCGATTAATGGAATTAAATAAGCAGAAGAGAGGCTGAGCCCCTTATTTATCTGGGAGTTGTGGTGAGCGCTGCAGCTGTGTTGGAGCTCCTCCTGTAGGCCACCTTCCCATGCTGCAGTTTGTGGACGTGGGGCGCGATCCTGCGCTCGGATGAGGGGTACCCGCACTTGTACGAGCAAGTGTGCACGCACAAATCACATCCCACACTTTCACTGTGGGATCCAGCCAGCCGAGCGCTGCTGTCCACTTCGTTGTTATTAGCAAACACAGGACAGGCTGGCTCCAACCAAGGCTAGTTCCTGCTCCCTTGTGGCTGCCAGTATTTCTGGGCTAGATCCTGTGCCACCTTCCCAGAGGAAACTTTTTCCCTTAAGTCCAGATTACAACTCGAGGCCACTGCCCTTCATGCCCAGTCCCTTTGGCATGTCCCTCCAGTGGTCGGCCCCTGGGAGCAGGACAGGCTGGAGGTGGTGAAAGCCAGAGAGCATGCTGCTGGCCAGCACATTAGTTCATGATAATCTTTAGGTTGTGCATGAGATTTATCTGTGCTCCTTCTTCCCAGTGCAGGGGAGGGGGGGCTGCATCCACTTCCCCACAGCTTTGTATAGAAACACTGCTGGCCTGCCCAAACCCTGTGTTCTCTTGCATTTCCCTTACAGCCACCGAGAACATTGCATCTCCCAAGCTTGCAGCCCTGGCAAGGGAGCTTAGACAGTGGGAAAGGTGCCTGGGTTCCTGGAGATGGTGAGCCCAGGAGGTGCTGGACCTGAAGTCCAGATAGCACCCAGGAAGCACGTGTTGTGGGTTTAATGGACTACTCAGGAAACTGCCTGGCAGGCTCACAGCACTCACGTTCCAGTAATAAGAATAATAAGGCTGAAGCACTGCCAGCAATTGATTCAGGAGCGCATTATGTGCTCATTTGAGACGCTGCGCAGATTGACAGTGGTCAATGCTTGTGCTAATGTGGTTGATTTCACAGGAGGCCAGGAAGCACTTGCAGCCCAAGCACCTTTCCCTCCCCACGCCCTTGTGCATCTGCCTGAGCTGCTGAGCAGTGTAGGGCCAAGGCTGCCCAGCTCCTTGGCTGCTGCAGCCAGGGCCAGCCGAGCTGCCCCAGAACCCTGTGTGCCTGGGCTGCCCCGGCCTGCCCGCAGCACAAGCACCTGCAGAGACTCTGCATGCAGACGGATTTTGGACCTGCAGACCCTGAAGTGGACTGTATCTGAGAGACAGACACCCAGGAATATTTTCAAGGCATTTGTAAAGTGTTCTCAAGTCTGTCAAGGAAAGAGACGTTTTCCAATCCTGTTTCCATAGTCTGGCTCTGTCTTTATGTTGACGGCAATAGCAGTAGGGATCCCTACTGCTGCTTTGGAGAGGCTACTCCTTGCACTTCCACTTCCCACTTGCTGGGAAGGAGGGGTTTTACTAATTGAGCTTTTTCTTAATTTGCACTTGCTGTATTAACAACATCAACCCTGTCACTTTAAAGCAAAGCAAAACGAAAAGTCATAGTGCTTTTAAGTTTTTTCCTAGCTCATTTCCTTCCAATTTCCCAGACCTTCTGCTTTCTAGGAAAAATGAGTTGAAAGTGTTACTCTGATCAAGTTTGAGGATGAAGCAGAAATTCCCAAGAGCCCCAGAAAGAAACAAGAGCAGACTCCCAGTCCCAGGCAGTTGTGGAGTGAGGTGGGAAGATGAGTCAGTGCTGCTGTAGTCAGGGGCTGCAGAGCATGGTGCAGAGATGGGACAAGCCTTGCCAACCACCACTCCATGTAAGGGTTTCAACTGCTCTCCAAGCAGCCCATCATCCTTCCGTTTATTTACTCATTTGTTTGCCTTAAAGGGGGGAACAGGTGTACATTAATTCATCACCAGAGTTTAAATTAAGTCATTTTACTTCTAAATGAGTCACTAATTTGCAGGAGTGTTTAATTACAGCCTCTTTGCACTCAGGTGCTGTATTACTTCTGACTTTCTCACCTGCTTGCCCTCTTAAGAGGCTGCCGCTGATTAGACCATTTCAGCACATCCTCGTTGCACATCAAAGCAATTAACCCTAATGGCAACACCTTGATGCTCCTCCTCGGTTTTGGGGGCTCTTGGCAGCCTTGTCTCCCCCAGGAAATAACTTCCCACCACTGTGGCAGGACACAGACTTGCTGTGCAAAGCATACTGCACACCACAGCTTGGGCAGCCCTGCAGCCTTTTGGCAGCGATTTGCAGCATAGATTGAGCACAAACAACTGCACTGAGCTCTCCCTGCTTCTGCTGCGAAGAGAGGACTTGCTCCAGCACCCACCTGTGTCTGGTGCTGGGTGTTCACAGGGTGCAAGCAGAGCTGGTGCTTTCTTGTCTTGCTCCTCAGCAGCAAGAAAATGCTCACTGATACCCTTGGGGCTTGTTTTGGCTACACCACCAGCTAGCCAGCTCTCTGCGTGTGCTGTCTCTGCAGACTAAGGCTACCTTTTCCAAAAAGAAGCATTATTTTTGTCTTTGACAGGCATTGGTGGATTTTCCTCCTTGGTTTGTCTACTTGTGCTTCTTCTTTAGTGTGCTATGAATTGAATAGACTGTTATCAAAACCCCTCCCACTCATCTCTACTCCAAACAGAAAAGTGCTTACACATTTTGTTCCTCATACTTTTTCATGCCTCTGATCATTCCTATTGCCCTTTCCCAGTTCAGCCCCACCATTAGATGGGCAGTAGTCATCCCTGCCACACATTTGACGGAGGAAAGCATCTAAAGAGCTGATTCAGTGAGCAGCCTATCCTGAAAACCAATTATAGGTGCCTGAATGAAGAGAGCCCTGAGCTGTGCTGGGATGTCTCTATGCCTGAGAAGAGGAATTTGCAGGGGCTGTGTCAGCCAGGCTAGTGGGTTTCCAGCCAGAAGCAGTGCTAGAGATTTCCACTCCCACCATCCCTGCTGCAGTGCCTCTGAGTGCTGCTGCTGCCTGCTTATTATGCTGATAATAGAAAATTACAGGTTTTCTGTAGGAAATGTCTATTTACATCCTACATTTCCCAAACTACCTATTAGCATCGCTGTGATGTCACATTCTCCTGCGTGTTTTCGTCAGCGCTGGCCACTCTGCTTGTGGACAGCCTGCTGCTGCAGGGAGGGCTGGTGGCATGGGACACACATGGGGACAGGGCCAGCCTGTGTCCTGCATGTGCTGCAAAGCCCCTGGGGCTGCTGCAGCCATGCAGATAGTGCCTGTGCTCCATACCAGAGCTGGATGCCTGCACCCACTGCTGGCTGCTTGGGAAGTGCCAGAGTAGGGGACAGCAGTGGGTGTCACCTTGAACACAGACAGTGGTTGTTGGGGCTGAGCAGAGGGACTCTGAGGGCTGTCCAGGTCAGCCCAGTCAGGGAGCCGCGCTTCCCAGTTCACAGCTGATCCAGAGCTGACAGACTCACGGGTGTTTTACTGCCTGAGAAATCTCCTGAAATGGCTGTCTGCCAAGCGATGAACACAGATGCCTGCAGAGAGAATAACACGTGCTGCTTCCCCTGCTCTGTTTGCTCAACATTTTTGCCTGTGGGCCAGCAAAGCTTCAGGGACCCTGAGCTGGAGCATGATTTTAAGAAGGCTTTGGCTGTGTTGGTGATTTCAGGGGGAGGGAGTTCATGGGGTGACTGATTTCTGCTGTAGCTGCCTGCTCTGGGCTTGCCCAGAGCTGCATGTGCAGAGCAAGTCCCTGCACGAGGCAGCTGTCTTGTCTGGGTGCCTCACGTCTCTCTCTGACAAAGAGGCCATCCCATCTCAGAGGGGTGCTTTGGGGCTGGTCCTTTCTTACCTTGTTTTATGCATGGACAAAGATGACAGGGAAGTCTTTGGGAAGGGCCTGCCTGGTTGTGGAGGAGCTGTGCACCAGCACACGGCTGGTGGGAGAAGGACTTTGTATGCGAGGCCAGGATGCAGGTGGGATAAGGATGTGCTTTTCAGGCAGTTGCATAGCATGCAGTCCTTTGGCCAAAATTTATAACCACATCTCTTCTCCAGGTTTATAGTTCCTTGTCACTCTATTAACTCAAATGAGAGATGTTTACATTGCATAAGTAGCTGGAGCAGTGGATAGTAACCTATCAATTTTCATGACTATTCCCTGGCAAAAGCTCATAGGCTGTCTTGCAGGACACTAATACTTAAAGCTCCTGGGGCACAAGACACCCAGGGCTTGCTATATTTCAGGAAACTGCAGTTCAACAGCTAATAAAACCGCTAGGTCAAGAACTGCACAGTCAGGTCTCTGTGGAGTTCTGGCATAAGACCAAATTTCTGCTGATAGTACATCCAAAGGAAAGGATGAGCATGCAGCGAGAGTGGAGGTGAAGGCTCATCTGCAGCAGGATGCTTTAGCAAGGCGCTGCTTTGCCAGCAGGTCACAGGAGGCAGGTCCCACTGGGGACTGCGTTATAGTGTGGTCTGGCATGACACTTTGGCTGGGGACAGCCACAGAAGATGCATCTGGCCTGGGGAGTGGTGTGCAGGGAAATGCAGATTTCCTGGCCGAAATGCGCATGTGCTGCAGCGTCCCACTGTGCTGTAACTGCTCCTGACGCCCTCCCTCCCACTCTTTCTCTCCACAGTCCATTGACCCGGGGCAGCAGTTCACCTGGGAGAACTCCAACCTGGAGGTGAATAAACCGAAAAACCGCTATGCAAACGTGATCGCCTATGACCACTCACGTGTCATCCTGACCTCCATTGATGGTAAGAGTGACTCCAGAGTGAGCACCCCAGCTAACAGCTGAACCTGGCTGTAGCAGGGGACCGTCTTTTTCCCTGTTCTTAGTCGAGCAGGGGCAAGCACTAGGAAACATATCCAGCACCAGTGTGAGCAGGTGTATGTTCTGGCTGCGAGAAGAGGGGAAGGGCTCTGCAGGGCTTCCCCAGCTTTCCCTATGTCCTCAGAGCATCGTGCCCCGTGTGGTTGCTTCTTGCTACTGCTGGTGCCAGCAGAGATGTCTGTTCCAGCAGCCTCCCTTCTCACTGCTGGCCTCACTGTGTGACTTCATTGTGCCGTCCTTGGCACAGTGTAGCACATGGTGGTACATGGCAGTGTTAGCCCTACCACCATCTGTCCCAACATAACTGCAGGGCCAGTATCTTCCTCTGGGACTTGGTGTTTGATCCCAAGTAAGTGCCCAGTGGTGCAGAGGCTGAGGGTTGCCCCTTCCCCTGCGACATTAGGCTCCACACATCCCTTTGCTCCGTGGAAAACACATCAGGCCCTGGTGTTCATAGCACTAATCCCTGTGGCTCCAAGAACCAGCCCCACATCTCTGGAGTTTGGGATAATACATGCTTTCAGAGCCTGCTTTGCAGTCACCTTGCACACAGAGGAGCTGGAGCCCAAGTACCGAAGCCCAGGCTCACCCATTCCCACTGTTTTGTAAATCAGCACCCAGCTCAGTACACCAGAGCTGAGCCCACTCATGGGGGTTGAGAAGGATGCAGCTAATTCAGGGTAATTCAGCTTCAGGAAGAGACTGGGACTTGGCTTTGCATACAGGTGGCCCTGCCCCGCTTAGCATTCTTTTTGTTGGATGGAAGAGTCTTTTCTAATGCTAATGCACCACTCAACCTCTTCCAAAGGAGGAGGGGATCCAAATGGTCCCTCACATCAAGGCCTGTTGAGCAGCAGCAGCTCTGTGAAGGCCTGGCATGCCTGATTATGGGCAAACCCTGTTAGATACTTGTGGGGCGAGCACATGGGAGAATCCCTGTTTTCCAGCCCGACTCAGTTGCTATGAGTAGTGTCTGTGTCTTCCTGGGAATCGTTCCCAAAGCACCCTGCCGGGTCCCCGCTGAACATGCCAAGGGAGCCAGGCGCTGCATTCCAGCTGCTGCTGCTCCCCCAGAGCCACCAGCACTTTGTTTCTGCTGTTGTGAGACTGATGGCACCTGTAGATAATTCCCCTTGACAAAAGGGCCATGGGGAGACCCCCAGCTTTATTTCCTTCCTCTAATGAAATGCAGATGCACTGTCCTTGGGAGACTAGGAGCTTCCTGCTGCTTTCCCTCCCTGCAGCCTGGGCAGCCCATGCTGGGCAGGCTTTGGAAACACAGCCTCAGGCCTCTCTCTGTTTTGCTGAATTTATTTTACTAACTGTGTGTTTGCATTTTAAAGGCCTTTACAAGAAAGTCCTTTCCATAGTGGTGGAGGCCGAGTGGGAGCTGGAACAGCCTCTGCCAAGAGGCAGCAAAGCAAGGGGGGGGTGTCTCAAACTAAGGAGGGTTTCAGTGGTGGTGAGAGGAAGGTCTCTGGCTCCTCTGGGGTACTAGTCCCTGCAGGAGGGATGGGAGCACATCCCTGCCTGACATCCCCTGCTAACAGACAAGCTAATGAAGCAGCCTTATTTTAGAAAGGTGCTGTAGGACTATAACAAATTACTGGTGAATTTAAAACAATTATTTCAGTCAATAGCTTAGGGCCAAACAAGCTCCTTAATATTCCTGCCTGTGAATTTCCCTTTGTGTGCGGGTGGCAGCTGTCTCTCTGCTTTGGTGCTGCCTTGTTGCATTAATGTGGGAGTTACAAAGGGTTCTTCCTTGTTCAGGCACCATACCTGTTCTTTACAGGATCCCTGAGAGAGATCCTGGCATCACCCTGTAAAGGAGACTTCTCAAGAGCCTTGTGAACATGCCAACTTCTTCCCTGCCTGCAGGGCCCAGCAGAGCAATAGGCACAGGGTGGTGGGCTGCCACTGAAGTAACACTTTGCCCTCTTTTTCCACAGGAGTCCCAGGCAGTGATTACATCAATGCCAATTACATTGATGGCTATCGGAAGCAGAATGCCTACATTGCCACACAGGGACCTCTGCCAGAAACCCTCAGCGACTTCTGGAGGATGGTGTGGGAACAGAGAACAGCAACTATAGTCATGATGACCAGGCTGGAGGAGAAGTCCAGGGTACAGTGTGTGCTTCCTCTCTTTTCCAGAGCTGGAGGTGGGGGCAGGAAGGAGGTATGGGAACCCAGGGAGAGGCAGGTCCAGTGGTGCTGCAGGCGCCTCAGCAACAAGTGCCTTGTAAGCATATCCCCATGGAGTGAAAGGGTAGCAAGACCTCCTGTTGCTGTGTTGCTCATTAACCCCTGTCTTATGTGCATGTTTCTTCACCAGAAGGGTGCTCAGGCATTGGAACAGGCTGCCCAGGGCAGTTGGTGCAATCACCGTCCCTGGAAGGGTTCAAAAATTGTGTAGATGAGGCCCTCAGTGACATGGTTTAGTGGTGGACTTGGCAGTCCTGGGGTGAAGGTTGGACTTGATGATCTTAAAGGTCTTTTCCAACCTAGTTGATTCTATGATTCTGTGCGCATGCATCCTTTCCCTGCCCACATCACTCGTGCCAAAGGAAGAAAGGAAAGCTCTGAGATGGAGAGTGTTGACAGTCCCAGAAGCTGAGAAGCTGCAATGGGTAGGTGGTAGCAGCATCCTGCAGCTTGACAGGGCCCTGGCATCTCTGGCAATGAAGGAGAATGGCTGATGGGGTCTTATTGCAATAACAAGACTAATTTATGCCTTCTTCAATGATGACATGTATAAATGATCATCTCATACTGCCAAGATTAGATATTCTGATGTAATAAATGCAAAGCTGCCTGCAAACCATGGGGACAGCCTGAGGTGGAGAGGAAAGAGCAGCTGCAGATGATGCTTATGGTGTTTCATGACTGAGGTTCTTACTCGGCCCCTGAAGCAGGAGTTTGTAAGCTGTGACCCAAGTGCTGCTGTGCTCAGATGCATCCTTTAGGCAAAGCCTGCCCAAGCAGGAGCCACCTTCTGCCTCTCGTGATTCAGTTTGTTCCTAAAAGTAAAATTTTAGCAGTGAGCATTTGTACTTGCAGAATATTTTAGTGTTGCCATGCCAACAGCAGGAGAAGGGGCTGTGCACTCAAGCTGTGAAGCACTGGTTATTTTTAGCCCAATAAGCTCATTCTTGAGAAGCAGAAACTGTCAAGTTTGGGTTTAGTTAAAACTTTTGCCTGCATGCTCTCCCTCCGTTTCAAAGCTTTAGCACTGAAATGCTCACAAGGGTGTCCTAGCCTACGCTGGCTGGGAGGAAGCAGCTGGAACAACCGATCACCGTGGCAAAACAGATCTGCTTTTCCTACATATGCAAAAATAGGGTTTGTTCATGGGCTTCCCCAGCTCTACAAATGCTCTACAGCCTGCAGGAAAAGCAGTATTCCTTGGAGACGAGCTGCCTCTAGAGATACAACCCCGCTTCGCACTATGCTTCCTGCTGCACTGCCCTGCCTGCTTTGTCCTGTGGCCACCATCACCCACTCCAGCCCAAACAGGGAGGTGAATTAACCTGACCCTTCCTACAGCTCAGGGCTTGGCACGTGGGCTAAGCAAGATGAGAAGCTACTGATCAACTGCTCTCTGCAGCTGGGGGTTATATGGGGACTTTTTTGTGACTCTGCATTTCAGTGATGGAGCACGTATTTGAAGTACGAGGAAAAGCCCTTTTAGGTTGCCAAGTAAATTCCTGCCCGGAGTCCTGACTCACTTAACTTCCAGGCTGCTTAGTTATGGAAGGCACTCCAAGGTGCGTGTTTCACAAAGATAACGGGTTTCCTTTGACCCCACAGGCACTTGTCTTTGCCTGAGATGCCTGTGCTGCTGAGCCATGTGTTATCTCCCCCTAGCACACTCCTTGTCATGTCCTCCTGCAGGCAGGCAATTACCTCTTGCAGGATTGGTTTCTGTCCAAACACAGTGTGTGGTCAGGCTTTTGGTGATAGGACAGGCACCGTGAATCCCTGTCATGGGCAGAGGGTGACCAGAGCCCTCACAGAAGCTGCAGGCAGCCCACCTGCCCAGGCGTGCTGCTCAGGGCCTCTAGGCTGACCTGACTGCACCCAGACCTCAGCCCTTGCTCCCCAACGCTGCCTGCCCATGCCCTCCTGGCCCTTTGATGCATCCCCAGCACTAATGAGAAATCGGCAGTTTTCTTAAGCGCTGTAGGACAGGCAAGTTGCCAGGGAGTGGGGAAGCCCAGCCTCTCCTGAGTCAAAACAGCCCCGTACAGCAAGGGATGTGGTTGCTGGACTCTGTAGGTGCCTCAAGGCACCCACTCACAGGAGGATCCTGGTGGGCAGCTGGGATGTGGACTTGAGGAGATTACTTCCTCTGGGTTTTTTTGTTGGCTTCTCCAGCATCTTCCAAGGCAGGATGGCTTTCAGCCTCTTCCTGCTCTGCTTTTCCTCACGTCCCTTTGGTGATGGCTAGAGCTCACTCAGGAGTATACCTTTTGGGGACCAGGGAAGATCCTGGTCACTGCCTATTGCTCTCAGCTTTCAGCATGAGTCACTGTTTTATAGTTTACTCCACTCCAGAGCATTCAAACCTCATCTGATGCAACCCCTTGGGTCCCTGCGCATTGCTGCCTGCTGCTGATGTTCACACTACTGTGGGACAGCACTGCTCCAGGCAGTCACACAGTGTCAGAGCATTACCCACAGGTGACCTTGCTTGAAAGTCCCCTTGCCCAGGGATCCAGACGATCCAGGCACAGGATTGTCTCTCCAGCTGCAGAGCCTGGGGTGGGCAGCAGCGCCTCATGGTGAGATGTCCAGCCCAGAGCAGGCTCTGCCACCTTCCCAAGTGAGCTTCTCGTGTCCCCCTCAGCAGTGCTGAGTGTAGATAAGCCAGCCAGGACCAGCAGCAGCTTTGCAGCCCTGTAGGGGTGACACTGCTTTAAAGGGCTCCTGAGCTGCGGGGGGGGGGGGAAATCTTTAAAGAACATCAGCTTTTATGGTCTGCAATTTCAGCTGGCTTGATGGTCCAAATCATCCTCCCTTTTTCATGTTTTCACAAAGCGAGAGGCATATAAAGGATAGAAATGGCTGGATTGTGCAATTTAGCTGCCTTCAAAGCTTTACAATCAGTTTCAGAATCATTTGGTGGCAGTTCAGAAACACACATTGTAGATTAGCTTTCCCAAAGCTGCAAGCATGGCGTGTCCCTGACGGGGTGTGTTGCGTGAGAGAGGTATTAAATCAGGATTTCTCTTACCCTGGGCTATCCCCAAGAGCTCGGCACAGCGAGATCTCCCAGAGCAGTAGCAGTGCAGTAGCGTGTTCTGTTCCAGCCCAAAGCACTAAGCAGCCATCCCTGGGGTGTGATCTGCCCTGGTGCTTCTTGTCCCCAGGCAGGGGTGCAAAGAGGCTGGTTCTCAAGGGCTCTGAGGAAGAGATGCCTGGCAGCCACATCCTGCTCTACTCCTCTTGCTGGCAGCAATGCCATCTGGAGTTTGTGAGTGAGGCCGAGAGCAGAGTACAGCTCTCGAGCTGAGGAGAGGTGCCCAGCTGCTCTTGGGCACAGGGCATCAAAGGGGAGGGACAGGAACCACTCAGCAAAGCTGCAGTAAATGACTGTTCAGGACATTACTGTGCTTCTTAAGTTAATGAGAAGCAAGCACTGCCAGAAGAAAACATCTCTTATCTGCTTTTACTGCCACAGTGCATCAGCTTCAGCATAAAATTTACAGAGCTTGAAAATGGGGCATAAACATTATGGGTAAATTTGGCAGAAAATGTGACTGACTCTTATCTGGTCATGAATAAATAATTTTCAATTACCAGCCAGGCACTGCTATTATCCCACACAGGGAACTCCTATGAAGTTTGTTTTGTGCTCAAGCACACGTGGCCCTGTAGCATGTGTGTGGTAGGAGAGGACAGCTCTCCCTGAGCATGAGGAGCTGTGCTGCTCCACTGGAACATCCCTTGAAAACCACACTGAGGGCTATAGAGCAAGCAGATGGCTCCTACAGCACGTGCAGGATGCCATTCTGCCCTCCCCTCACCTCCTTCAGAGAGGGTCTCATCATCCCTGAGACAGGCAAAGCAAACGCCGGTGGCCAGAGGTGGAGATGCAGCTGTAGCTGCCGCTCGCTTGTGGATAAGACCAGTTTAGCTGTGAAATAAGGTTTGTGACCTCCGAGCTGTTCACTCTGCAGCTAGTCAGTGCAAAATAAAAGCCTGCTCTGTGCTAAGCGAGGAAGAGAAATCTTCTGAGATTTGTGCAAAGCCTACCGTGCTGGGAGCACACATCCAAGGCGCAGCACAGCAGCATGAACAGCAGGAGACCCCAGGCAGGAGGCAGTGGAGTTGCTCTGGGTGTGCAGGTGCCTGCAGTACCCCATTAGGCAGCCTTGCTCCAAGCACTTCTGCCAAGGCAGGACTTACTGAGAGTAGATCCGAAAAAAGCAGTGATAGATGCATCCCTTTGACCCCAGGTTGCCACACTCCAGCAGCCAGAGTGCAGGATGAGAGCCCTTCACTTTCACAAGCCCCACCCTGCTTAAAGTGCCTTCAATTAGAAGGCAGAACTTCATTGATTTCTAATTAAGCCTGTTGTTTCCCTTCCCACACGCTCTCCTGTAAACATGCTCAGTTAATAATTAAGTTTACTATTCCTTGACAAGCACAGATGATCTTCCATTTACTCCTTTCTCCTAGAGTGGGAAACCATTTTCAGTGCAGTGCACATGGGTGGGAATGAAGTCTTTCTCCTGTCAGTCAGGCACCGCAGCTCGGTGGGACGGGGGAGCCGGCTGCCAGATGAAATAGGGATGCTCAGGGTGCCAGTTAAATAGGGAGCTCGGGGCTTGGGAGAACAAAACCAGGGGAGTAGTTTGCAAACACTGAGCTTGTGAACAGGAGGAGGAGGAGGAGGAGGGCATCCAAAGGTAAGCAGGGAGGGATGCACAGGGAGATGAAAGGGTCAGAGGGATGGGGCCCTGGGGAGGTTTTAGGACTCTCTGCCAAGTGGGCTGCAGCAGGAGCCGTGACCAGTAGCTCAAAGTGCTCTGGCTCTGGAGTTGGGAGGGGGAGATAAAGGACCTGCAGTGCAGGGGTTCTCTGGAGAGCAGGAGTGTTCTCGTGGTGGAACAGTGCTGCCGGCAGGAGTAGGCTGAAAGACTGGTTTGGCCACAGTCTATGTCTTCTTGCAGAGGGACAAGAAGTTGTGTCTTTGTCTAAGCTAGTATTTGTGCCTTGCTGCAGAGCGGTTTTGAAATACCTGGGAGATGTATATTTCCAGGGATGTGCCACCTACCAGACAGGCATGTTGGTGTCTCTTGTTGATGCTCAGTGCACTAAAGCCTACAGCAATGCAGAAAGGGTGGCAGGGTCAGCCCTGTGGACACAGCATCCAGGCTGGAGGCCTGGTGTGGGCTGTGTCCCATCTTTCATCAGGGTGGATTGCTGCTGGGGGCTACACTGACAGGGGCACCCTGGAGACTACAGATGGTATGGGGAAAGGCGGTGCCTGTTGTTGTATTGTTGTGTACCATGCTGGACTCAAAGCTCTGTCCTGTCTCAGCTCAGTGCTATGGGTCAAGGACTTTGGCCAGATAGCAGGGAGCTAGTGAGGATACAAGCTGCAAACCACCTCAAATGCCCCAGTCAGCAGCCAAGCACTGACCCTTTCTCCTCTTCTCCCTGCAGGTAAAGTGTGACCAGTACTGGCCAAGCCGGGGTACAGAAACCTATGGGATGATCCAGGTGACACTGCTGGACACAGTTGAGCTGGCGACCTACACCGTCCGCACCTTTGCACTGTACAAGGTATGACTCTGGCTGGGCTGTTCCTGTTCCAGGTAGTGCAGAGCTGCTCTCCACTGCTGTAGGGCCCACAAGCAGATGCTGTGTCTGGCTTGGCCAGGCATGTCGCTCGTCCACACATGGGCCATTTCTCACAACTGGGCTGCAGTGGGACACCGGCTGCAGGTTGTGCATCTGGCCACCACCAGATTTTGGCCAGGACACCTGATGCTTTCCTGTATGCGTTCAAACCCTGTGATGGGCCCCAGAACAAGGTCCATGCTTGCCTCTGGCGAGTGTACATGTAATAGCTGCCCTCCCATTAGAGGGACAACATGGGAAACAGTGAATTTTTAGTACTCCTGTCACTAATAATGCAAATGAAGGGGCTGTGCTGACATGTGCTCCAGCCCTTCTGTCCTGCCTGTTGCATACCTCATTAGTGTTTGGAAATTCCAGGAGCAATGCTAGCAGCAGCATGTCACAGCAATGCAAACAGGCTTTGGAGCCAGCCGCCTCTGTGCATGACTGGGTCTGGGCCAGGAGCACAGCAGTGTGTGATGGGGACACACTCACACCCCAGGAAGGCATCTCGTTCCCAGCAGTCGCCTAGCCAGTCCTGCTGCATTGCTGTGTAGATCACTCAGCCAAGCCAAGACAGAAGCAGGACAGTCTCTGCAGACACCCGCTGATCAGCCAACCCATGATGCAGAGGAGCAGGGAGGACACTGGCTGCTGTGGCCCTTCCATGCCCAGTGCCCATTTTCCCTGAACATGCAGTGACTACATGGGTAGTGACCCCATGCTGTGCAGAAGGGAGTCTTTCACCTTCCCTTCAGTCTGTTTTGCCTCTGCAGAGCTGCTCTGCTTTCTGTATTAGCTGGCTTTCCACAGGGCATCTGTGTTTACAGAAGCTTTGCAAGAAGCTTGCATTTTGCCTTCCAGATTTTCAGTGGCAAAAGCCCAACACATGCATGATCACACACAGCATTACATGCCTGTTGTTACCCAGCCAGCTGGGTACCTCATTACCCCATAAATGGGTTCCTGTCCTAGGATGAGACTGTTCTCATACAAAACAACTCCTCTTTGTCTTCAACAGAATGGCTCCAGTGAGAAGCGAGAGCTGCGACAGTTCCAGTTCATGGCTTGGCCTGATCACGGGGTACCAGAATACCCCACCCCAATCCTAGCTTTCCTGCGACGGGTCAAGGCCTGTAACCCACCCGATGCTGGGCCCATGGTTGTCCATTGCAGGTAGGACTGGGTGTTTGCAAAGCTGCACCTGGGCTCATGCCTTCTGGCTACAGGAGCTTTAACTAAAAGTGAAGTTTCCTGTTCCTGCTGGGAAGGTTTCACAGTAGCATAACCTGTACTTGGGCTGGGACAGCAACCAGCAATGGTGATGCAGTGGTGACATTTATATTGCTACTGCTCTGTCTGATTAAGCAGCACTGCTGTGTGGAGAGCCTCAAAAAACACTTATTTCCTGAAAAATTGCAAGTACCATTTAAAAATGATCTGTGCCCAGCTTAAGTAGGTGGTGCCTTTCAGAGGCACATCTTTGACAGACAGGCATGCAGTGATCTCTGCAAACATTCATACACAGTGTTTTCAGCAGAACTCTCTTGCAGGGTAAAAAGGCAGCTCTTTAAGCAAAATGTTAGTCCACTAAAGCTCAGCATCTTCTCCAGGCAAGATTTATCTATACCAGCCAAGTGGGGACTATCACTGAACAAACCACTCCATCATTACTGTTCCAGCATGCGCCTTACCAGCAGTGTTTAATGCTCTTCTTTCATGCTCTGTTTCAGATGGGAGTGGGGTGTAATTAACACACAAACAAGCTGTATTAAAGCCCTGTTAAGGATCTGACTTGCACCATAAATGAGGAAATGTCTAGCTCCCTATCTCTGCCTGTGTTTACATGTCACGACAGCATGTCTGTAGTTTTCAGGGTGCTCTCAGGGTGAGGAGTTTGGGGATTGCTACTGCCCTTCTAACAGACGTGGAGAGGCATCCAGCGCTTGAGGAAAGGGCTCAGTATAGACATGCATGACCTCACCTTTCTGCTTTTCCCTCTCAGGCTGGCTGTCCTCGTTTTATGGGTTAGGAAACAGTGACCCAGATTAGAGGTCAAGCAGACTTGAAATTATGGGCTTCGCTGGTGTTGGGGACTTCAGATCTTCAGACTTCATGCATACATATGCTGTCACTCTCCTGCCTTTTAACACATTTCTCCTTCCCTTGAGGAGGTACTGCCAGCCACTGCAGGGACCAGCAGGGCGACTCTGTCCTTTCTGCTGCATCAGTGAACAGGCGAGCAGCAGAAGGGCTGAGTAGCCTCCCATATTCTCCAGTGCCTCTCTCCCTCACTCCTCCTGCCACCTCTTGTTTGGGGGTCAGCTTATTAGCCCTCAGTGCGGGGAGAAGCCTTCAACTCCCCCATTGCGCACTGTAGGTCTGGGTGCTCTCTTGGGCAAGAGCAGAGCTTGCGTGGCATCATTGGGAAGTGGTGTCGTCTCAGGCCACGTGCTTTGTTCCTGCAGTGCTGGCGTGGGCCGAACTGGTTGCTTCATTGTCATTGATGCCATGCTGGAGCGGATGAAGCATGAGAAGACTGTGGACATCTATGGCCACGTGACATGCATGCGCTCTCAACGCAACTACATGGTGCAGACAGAGGACCAGTACATTTTCATCCACGAGGCCTTGCTGGAGGCAGCCACGTGCGGCAATACCGAGGTGCCTGCACGCAACCTCTTTGCTCACATCCAGAAGCTGACCCAGGTGCCACCAGGAGAGAGCGTTACTGCAATGGAGCTGGAATTCAAGGTTGGTGGCAGAGCCCCAGCACCCTCCTTACCTGGCACCTTATCTCTGCCCACACGGCCCCACTGGGCCGCTCGCACAGGGGTTGGGAGAGGAGAGCCATGGATCATTACAGACAGTTACTCTCTTGTGTGTTTCTAAACCAGGTAGGCAGTGATTTAAAATACATTTGAATTGTAAAGCTTGTGTCGGCCATGGTTCCCCCTGGATTGGCAGCTTCTGGGGAGGATATAAAAGGCAGATGGATGCACAGTTCTCAGCAGCACGTTCTGCTCTAGGTTCACTGTGCGGCAGGAGATGCATCTGAAATCAGATGCAGATCGTGTTAGTGATAATTGATGTTACTGTGAACAACTTGTCTGGAAATGGCTCCAATTTAAATATGTGAGATGTTTCTAGTCTCATTTCTGCAATGTTGAACTTTTTTGTCTTTTAACCACCTCGACACCAAGCCTTGGTGTCTAGAACTGGTGAAGGCAGTGTTTTAAGGCACACTGTTCTTAGAAATCCAAGCCCACATTTTGCTGCGTGTATCTGTGAATGCCAACTGCAGATATTTATTACAGCCTTGGAGATGGAAGTGAGCTCTGGTAAGCACCCATATTCTCAGTTTAGGTACATTAGTCCAGTGAACTCATGCAGGGGAATATAGCTCATGCAGAGAGGCAGCAGACCGTGCAGGCTGTGAAATGAACTGCAGCAATACAGCTTCACCCTGGGGATTCCTTCCAAGTGACAAAGGAGCAGGAGAGGTAAAATACTGGCTCTCTGTGTAAACTGGGAGCAGCTGAGCAGCTCTGTCCTATGGTTACCAAAGCCACCAGTGTCCTGGGCTTGGGACAGTAGAACATGCTGCATTAGTATCTCACGGTGACACCTGCCCTGAGAAACCCCTCAAGAGAGCCATAGAATTAGGCTCGACTCTAGCAACTCTCTTATAAGAAACACAAAAATTTGTTGTTTCTCTGAGGGTCTCTTTAGAACTGTGATAAAATTTGCTCCTCTGTGTGCCCTGGCAGTGTCCACTGCATGGAAAACCCTGGGGAACAGGATAAAGGAGGGCTTCACATGGCTGTATTACTCCCCAGGGAGCAACACTGTCCTTCTGTAGGGAGCCTCTGCCAAGGACCAGCTGCCACACACAGAAAGAAGGGTGGCTCTGGAGATGCTGGAGAGAGTCTTCTGGAGAAGGTGATAGGGCAGGAGCGGGACTTCTGTTTGAATGTCTTTGCCAGCAGATCTAAGTAACACATTTACCATGACTCCAGCTTACAGTCCTCAAAGAGAACCATAAAACGTCTTGCAGTAGCCCAAAATAGATCTTCTTTACCTAAAACTGTCACAATTCTCACATTTTTCTGTGTCCTTCTGGGGTGAGAAGTAAATAGCAGACATTGTTGGAAGATGGAAAGCTTTCTTTCCGTGGTGTCACCAGGCGTGTGTCTTTGGTTCAGTGAGGTACAATGCTTCATGTCCTGGTTCTTCGTGAGTCAGAGAGCTGCTGTGGGTCTCCACTTTGCTGTGTGTGGCTTTGAGGCTTCGCCAGCAGGTCAATGCAGATGGTTCCCCTGCTGTCACCTACAGCCACGCACCAAAAGGCAGCAGCAAGGCCATGCCATGCCTAGATGTGCATTGCCATGGCAGAGGGGCCATCACAGTCCTGAAAACCAGACTGGTTACTGGGAAATAGAGCAGCCAGATACAGCCTCCTCATAATGTGGTGACAGAGCCCTTTGTCCGGTCTGCAAAGACCTGGTCCCCAGTGGTTGTCCCTTGGTCGGAGGAGGGTAGGTGGCTGCATGTGCAGAGGGACTCCTGCGTGCCCTGCTGCCAGGGTACCAAGTTTTCCTCTGCTGTGTTCCCAGCAGGAGTCTGACACATTTTCTCCTCTTCCAGCTGCTGGCCAACTCTAAAGCACATACCTCACGTTTCATCAGTGCCAACCTCCCATGCAACAAATTCAAGAACCGCCTCGTGAACATCATGCCGTACGAGCTGACAAGAGTCTGTCTGCAGCCCATCCGGGGCGTCGAGGGTTCCGATTACATCAATGCCAGCTTTATCGATGGGTACAGGTAAGGGCCACCCTGAGGTGCCTATGCCAGCCTGTCCTGCCTGCTTGGCAACCTTGGCAGAACTGCCTTCTTCTCTTTCCCAAGGACTGGTCCTGGCTGCCTAGAGGTGGGCTGGGGATCACTTTGTTGTATTTTATTTTTTTTCCTCTTCTCAGACACTGCAGTGCGTATAGTTACAGTATGTAAAGACTGCTAGTGAGTGAGTGCTGCCAGGCTGGCTGGTATTGCTGTAGACAGATGCCCGCATGGCTGGGGTGGGAGGCTATGCTGGCTTCTGCCAAGGTTTATAGGATCTTCTGGTAGGCATCCCTTGGCATGTGTTTTATATCTGCAGCATCTAAAACAAACCTGCCCCCATCTAAAACAAACTATAGCAACCAGAGGTAGAAGTGTACTTGCACTGCATGACTGATCCAGGCAGCAACCCAGGACTCACTGTCCCATGTCTTGATTTTGGGGGAGTCTGTGGATCCTCAAACAGGGCTGGTGCTAGACATTGGGGAGCCTGTCACTGCGTTCTGCTGCCCAAGATACCTTTTAGAAAGCACAGATTAAGATCTAGTGGGACAATAATACTAACTGTTTCTGTATCTAGCTGGCATCATATTCTCAGCTGCTAAGGAGAGAAGAACGCAGGGAAACAGCCCAGTGGCCACATCTCATTTACAGCCAACTCCCAGACAGTAATCCAGACCAAATCCCAATGATGCACGTACAAGGCTTGTTCCTGTCACCTCTCTGTGTACCATCACAGTAGAGTCACTCAGTGCACGAGTGGGGGATACAACAATGAATGTGGCACAATCCACCCCCAGCTTGGCTCTGCCCAAACATTTCTGATGGGCTGGTGATCTCCCAAGAGCAACAGGCACTGCCAAAGGGAACAGATGTTGGTGCAGCAAGGCCAGTGGCTCTGTGCCTCCATCCATGCTCCAGTCACCAAACCCAGGAAGAGGTTCCAGGACAAAGGGATACGTGGAGGGAAGAGTGGGCAGGGAGCAGAAGGGGAGCAACCCTTGGAGCATCCCAACACAGCAAAACTTCAGTAAGCCAGGGTGGGACAGAGTAATGGGGAAGGAGGAAGGGACTGGGGAAAAGCTGCCACAGAGCAGCCTCTGCTCCCCCCGCCTGTGTGGCTCTGAGCCATCCAGCACTGCAGTGTTGCTGTGGCCGCCTGCCCTCACACCTGCCCTGGCAGCCCTGCATGTGATAAGCAGGCTGCAGCCGCTGTGTCCTGGCTCCACAGCCACAGAGCAGTGCTGGTTTTGCTGCTTGCTGATGCTCCAGAGGGAGTGCTGCCAGCACGGCAGGTGGTACCATTTCATGTGCTACCTACCCCATCCCTGAAGAGCGCTGTTACCTCTTTCTGTACTTTCCTTTGAACCAAGCAATCTTCTCAGTATTATCTAAAGAGATGAGTTGGCCCAAGGTCACATCACTGAATCTGCATCTTTACTACCTCTTTCTTTTCATTCTGCACCCCTACTCCCTGCTTTTTATGGTGTCTGATAAATCCACCTCGAAGCAGCCCCTCTCTTCATCCTGCACGTTACAGCTGTCCTACAGCACATTCATTAATTTTTAGCACGCGTGGAGAGATGCAGTGCTGGAGAGATGGGAGTGCTGCACGGGAGAATGCTGCCCCTCATCCTGCGGGCTCCGGCGCCTCGCTGTGGTGAAGCGAGACCATGTCATAGAATCATAGAATGGTTTGGATTGGAAGGGATCTTAAAGCTCATCCAGTTCTAACCTCTTGCCATAGGCAGGGACACCTTTCACTGGACCAGCTTATTCAAAGCTCCATCCAGCCTGGCCTTGAACACTGCCAGGGATGGGGCAGCAACAGCTTCTCAGGGCAACCTGTGCTGATGTCTCACCAGCCTCATAGTGAAGAATTTTTTCCTAATGTCCAATGTAAATCTCTCCTCTGTCAGGTTAAAGCCATTCGCCATTGTCCTATCACTACATGCCCGTGTGAAATGTCCCTCTCCAGATTTCTTGTTGGCCCCTTTAGGTATTGGAAGACTGTTATCTCTCCTGAGCCTTCTCTTTTGCAGGCTGAACAAGCCCAGCTCTCTAAGCCTGTCTCTGCTGCCTGTGTGGCCCCAGACCTATCATGTCTCTCAAGGGCAGCACCAGCATGCCAGGGTGGGCACTCAGCAAGCCAAAGAACCAACACGGCAGAACTGGGCCTCCTCAGAGGCCAAAGCACTAAGGGTGCTTTCTTCAGGATGGGGCCAGTGGCAGATCAAGCTCTGCTTTCACATGGGACATTCTGGGAAATGCTCTGGTTCACAGTGGAACTGAGGACAAATTTTGAAGCTCCAGAAAAGTTGGCAAAGCTGTTTTAATGATTTCCACACTGCAGGAATTACTTCTAGTAATTAGCTGGCATGAAGGACCAAGTGACAGGATGCAGTTGCTCTGTATCTTTCAATGCAATGGGAGGGACAGGGGGTGCTGAAGAGAGTCAAAGTGCAAGAACCCAGGGGTGCTGCTGGGATCATCACCAAGCACAGCCTCTCCTTCCAGCCTGGATGGGTGCTGGCAGCCCACTTGTGAGGGCCTGGGTGCCAATAAGGCTCTTAGTGCAACAACACTGGGGACAAACAGCAGCAAGAGGCTCGGCTGGGGACACTGTCAGCCCAGCAAGGACTAGGAGCCTTTCTGGATCCTACACCTGGAGGTGCTCACTGCGTTTGTAGGGAGAGGACATGTGCTGGGCAGGCTCATCTCTCCCCTAGAGTCCATGGCTAGTCTGAGACCTTCCTCCTGCAGCTGCATTGTCAGCCCTGCTCCCTGCTGCACAAGGCTCATGCTTCCAGACCCCCAGCCCCTGGGAGAGCTGGTCTGAGCAGCGCTGTGTTTGTTGCAGGCAGCAGAAGGCCTACATCGCCACGCAGGGACCACTGGCTGAGACCACAGAGGATTTCTGGCGGATGCTCTGGGAGCACAACTCCACCATCGTGGTGATGTTGACAAAGCTGCGCGAGATGGGCCGGGTACGAATCCTGCTAGGGGGAGAAGGGGGCTGTGTGCTGCTGTCTGTGGGCACCTCAGCTCGCCCCAGTCTGTCCCCAGCACCAGCTGCTCTGGGCCAGCCTTCCAGTGGTGTGTCCTGTGCCTGACCCTGTGGCCCTACAGCCACAAATGCTCTCTGGGGGTAGGAGGGAGGAGCAGCAACTTGTCGGTCCTAATGTCTTACCATGTTCCTCATCCACAGGAGAAGTGCCACCAGTACTGGCCCGCAGAGCGCTCTGCCCGGTACCAGTACTTCGTGGTGGACCCCATGGCAGAGTACAACATGCCACAGTACATCCTCCGGGAATTCAAGGTGACGGATGCCAGGGTGAGTGCAACTGCTGGCTCCCCAGCTCCTCTGCCCCACCTCTGTCCTGCCCAGGCCAGCAAAGGAAGCGTGCAGCAGCTCCTGTAGGAACCAGAAAACAAGGTGCTGCCTTGCACTGCAGGCAGAAAGGGCTGCTGCCCCCTACCACAAGCTCCTTCCTTGCCAGCTGTGTCAGCCCTGGTGAGTAGCTCAGAGATCCCTAACAGCACCAGACCTGGTCTTGCCTGTGTTGCACACTTCGGCAAGCATTTAACATGGGCTCCTCTGCACCTGGAGTCTCTGTGTGCAGCACCTGACTGGGTACAAGACCCCTGTGTGACAGTAAATGTGGTCCTAGGGTGGAGCTGGGCTCCAAACAGGACCAGGGCACTGACCCAACAGGGGCCCAAAGCCCTGAGCTCAGCTCAGCCACCCTAGGGTGAACATGGGAGAGCAGAGGTACGCCCCAACTCTCAGCAAAAGATCTGCCTGGGCTCACCCATGGCCTGTGCACCCTCTCACCTGGCCTGGGGCAGGGGGTCTGAGAGCAGGTCAGCAGCACCAGTGCTGAGGGGAGCGAGATCAGCCCCTCACCCCTGCTTGACATGTAACACCTCTATCCCCACAGGACGGCCAGTCACGGACCATCCGCCAGTTCCAGTTCACAGACTGGCCTGAGCAGGGAGTGCCAAAGACAGGAGAGGGCTTCATCGACTTCATTGGGCAGGTGCACAAGACCAAGGAGCAGTTCGGTCAGGATGGGCCCATCACAGTGCACTGCAGGTGAGTGGGAACAGATCAGCCCTCAGAGATGTCTCCTACTTCACTGACCCTGGCAGCTGACAGCTCCCCTGTGCTTGGTGCCCCTCCTGCACACCACTGGCGAGAGGCAGGCAGGGGAAGAGGAGGCACCAACATCCATGGGTGCCATGGGCCATTTGTAGCTCTTTGGAAGACTCCTTGGGCAGGGCAGGGTGCTCAGCAGCTTGGCCCAGAGGCAAGGCAGAATTGGTGGGCCCCATAGGCCTCAGGGGGCACCTCTGGCTGGCAGTGTCCCTGTGGCCTGTCCTAGTCCCATTGAGCAGATCCCTGTGCTTCATGAGCTGAGGCCACTTGCACTGCTCCAAGGAGCAGAGCCTCGCTGGGGTGGCAGGTCTCTAACAGCACCTCTTGCTCCCTCTGTGCAGTGCTGGAGTGGGGCGCACAGGTGTGTTCATCACACTCAGCATCGTGCTGGAGAGGATGCGCTATGAGGGGGTGGTGGACATGTTCCAGACGGTGAAGACCTTGCGGACGCAGCGGCCAGCCATGGTGCAGACAGAGGTGAGTGAGAGTGCCATCCTACCTGGGGTGGTGGGAGATCTGTAGGAGAAGGGAGGGAAGCCAATGCCTCCTGGATGTTGAACCTGCTGCCCACTGTCCTTGTTGGTCCCACTTCTCACATTTCCGTGCTTCCTGCCTTGCAGGACCAGTACCAGCTGTGCTACAGAGCAGCACTGGAGTATCTCGGCAGCTTTGACCACTATGCAACGTAACTAGTGCTTTCCTCCAGTCGCGGTGGGGATGTCTAAGAGTGGAGATGGGTCCCTCTGAGCCAGAGCTGCCCATTCCTCAGTCCTTCTGTACAGATGGAGGTGCTGCCCAGGCAGCAGACCTCCACACCAACCAGTTTTGACCACGGCATTTAGGAACTTCGCCCCAGCGCCAAACGAGGGAATCCGACTCCAAAAGCATTTCCAGTCTCTGGCTGAATTTCTGCTCATGTGCATCTCTCGCCCTCTCTCACGCCGACTGCATTTCACAGCGAGGCTTTAGGTGGGTGGAATGGGGTCTTTTTTTTAAACATGTAAAATAGTTACTAGTGGTTTTTATAATCTCCTCTCTCTTTATTTTTTATTGTTTGCAAGTCTTAATGTTTTGCCAAGGCAGAACTGGACCCGCCAAACCTTTGGGAGTTGGGCTTTTGGGGTTTTGGTATTTTATTTCCTTTTGCTTTTACATTTTTTACTGCCCTGTGTTTATTTCAACCCAGTCACTGCTGGTTCTGCCCATTTTAGTGCAGCTTCCTTGGTAATTCGCAGCAGCTGGCTTGTGGTTCCTGCCCGGCTCCATTCCCCATAGGCTGCTTTTTAATCCTCTGTAGAATATTAAATTTCATGGAACTGGACCTAAGCTACCAATTATTTTTTTAGCCTTTCCCCTCCCCCCCATTATTTCCTGAGTAGGTTTGGGTTTGGGAGGGCATCTGGGGTCACCGGAGAAGTGGTCCCCTTTGTCAGCTGGCAACCGTTTAGTCCTATTCCGATGCGTGTTAAACCAATCCAGTGACCGTGTGTATTGGCAGATCCCGATATGACGTGAGTTGTCGTCGCCTTGTTTGTGAGAGACCCGAAATCCCAGTCTCTGGGCTTCGGAGTCTCTTTTTGTGTGTCTCACTGGGAAGGGGGCAAGAGAAGCGAGTGGGTCCCACACTTCCCCGGGAAGGGGCTGGAAAGAGCGAGACACGGCCCTTTTTGTTTATCCAATGGTTCCGTGTGTGCAAGCGCCATTCTGTCACCTCTCACCAGTGACGTGCATCAAGAGCATTTTCAAATCAAGGAGCACAAGCCCAGCCACCCCCAGAGTAGAGCCAGCCTCTTTGGAAAGCAGGGTACTGCAAGGGAAGGGGAGGAGAGTACACATGGCTTCAGAGGTTGGGTGTATCTATAATTTCTGCTATCCTGCAAATGTTAAAAGTCACTAGAATATTGTACTTTCCGCTACTTCAGGACGTTCTAATGAACCAATGTGGCAAGACTACTGGACTTAATTTAATGGTACTATATATTAATACTCCTTATTATATCACGCTTGCACTAAAGACAGGGAGTGAGCAGCCCTCTTTTGAGTGCATTGAGTTATGAATAAAGGTGGTGGAAGGGTATCTAATTGTATTATCACATGTATTCCGAATGTTAAGAAATCCAAGCTACGTTGAAATCAGCAATCCAGGGTTGGTAATGTTGGAGGACACATTCATTTTTACCTTGTGGATGCATAGTGCTGTAGGGGTCACTGTTGTATACAGTCTGTTTTCTATTTGTTAATAAAAAAAAAAATCTACAGCATCATTGCATAATTCTTGATGTTAATAAATTTGAATAATTGGGTTTCATACAAGCTGGCTTTGCTGTCTGTTTCTTCAGCAATTAGCAGAGGCCATAGAGTCCCTCAGCAATGGGCATGCTTCTCAGCCTGTTGCCACAGAAGTCCTTTCCCATGGGCACATCCCAGTCATGAGTGCCCCACACTTTCTGCAGGGACCCTGTGCTGGCAGGGAGCTCGAAGACCCCCTGTGACAACCCCCTTTATGCATGTTTGTGCCACCTCCTGCCCACTTGCAGCCATAACGGGGTGCACTGAGAGTCCCTGGCACCTCTGGGAAATGGATCCTGCCAAGCCTATCTTTGCAGCCATGGTCCCTTCGGGGTCCCCTTCTTTTTCCCAAGGATGGATTATTCCTTGCTTGAGAAAACCAGTAGCCACTTTGCCCAGGCCATGCAACGCACAAGCTTTCCCAGTGTTGGCTGGAGTCTGAGATGCTCTCCCCACCTGCTTTAGTGCCAGTTAGTAATCTTCAAGAGGACCCCAGGATGTAGCAGGATGCAGACATGGAGTGATGCTGAGCATTGCTGGAAGCACATTTACCTGCACCTTCTTTCTTGCCAGTGTGCCAGCTGCAGGACCAGGCTGGACTGTGCATGTGGGTTTGCAGGAGAGGAGGTCAGTGATGGTGGGCTTGGTGGCAACATCAGACCTGGATGAGGCTGATGTGTTGCTGGGCTCATGGGACGCTGCAGTAACACTGCTCTGCAGCACTGAGCACACTTGTGTATGCAAAGTTACTGCTCAGCAGTAAAACCATTGCCCGGCTTTTACTTGCAGAGCAGCACCCAAGTGCATTCAGGTGTGAAACCCCTGGCCAGGTTGTGCCCACTCCATGGGCAGGCAAACCGCAGCCCTGCCTGCAAGCCCCTGTTTAGGGCTGACTTCTAGAGAGCAGCGCCTGCCAACACCACCAGCGTGCAAGGGACAAAACTACATGTGCAGGGTCCTGTGGCCTGTCCATCCTTCCTGAGGAAGCCAAACCTTCCCTGCCAGCGTGTGCACTATGGGTGTGAGCATGTGGCACATGGGCTGATCAGCTTCTGCCCAGCGTGACTGTGGGCCCCTTCCTACTGACTCCTTGCTGACTTTGCTGGAGCGCAGCCACACGTAGCGTTTCCTGCCAGGCCAGACCAGCACCTGAGCTGATGCCAGATGCAAAACGGTGTTTCCCCCTCACCTGTCTGGTTCCTACCCCAGTGCTTTGCCCCTGCAGGGCTACAGATCCAAGGGCAAAGCAAGCTCCTGCCCTTGCGAGGCAGCACACGTGTGCAGGTGTGTGCACATGCACGTGCCAGCACTGCTGGCATTGAGATGCTTTGCTTTGCATCGCTGCCAGGGCCCAGGTTGGCAGAGCCAAGCCAGCACCTGTATGTACATGGGTGCATGTGGGGAGGAAGGACGCTGTGCCCACCATCGTGCTGTAGGAAACCGGCCAGCGAGCACCTACCTGCACTGTGATGCTTTGACTGTGCCACTGAACCTCAGCTGGTGACAGTGCTTCTGCCGCATGGATGTGCCACACACTGAGCACTCACCAGGCGCTGCCACAGCATGAACCTTTAGTCTGTGTGTGGCTTTGAATGTGGCAATTTACTCTCACCAAAACAGCAGTTGCCAGAACAGTTGTACGTGTGCACAAGCACACGTGCATGTACCTTCTTTCTTGTCCAAGAATGCCTGGGGCTTCCCTCCCGTCTGATGTCTTGTTCTTCGCCCACATCCTTTATGACTGACCCGGGGAAGATACGAGGGAACAAACACTCCCAATTCACTGCCTCCGTGGGCTCTGCTCTGCCTGCCACGTGTACAGCACAGAGTGACCCTTTTGGTTGGTCAGTGGCCTTGCCTGTGGGCCAAGTAAAAATGGGAAGAGGCAGAGAGAGAAAGAACATGCATCTCAGCACGGATTGCACTGGGAATAACATGACGGAGCCCAGCCCTCTGCAGCAAGACTATTGTTGGATAGACACCATGTAGGTACTTTGTGGAGTGAAGCCACACAGGTGAAGCCCTACCCTGGCCTCACAGGGCTGAGAAAGGTTCAGCACACAGGGCCAGGAGGCTCCCAAAGCATGAGGAGGTGTCACCCTGTCAAGGGGACACCACAGGACAACCACTTCAGAGGCACCTGTTGCTGGTGAGGGCAGTCCCACTCCCCAGCCAGCTCACACAAAGCCAACGTTGCTCCAAAGGGGGTGGAGTCACAGTGGTTTAAAAGTCCTTATTCTTTTTAACATGCTTCCCTTTATCTCTGCATATGTCACAAAATAAAAGGGGAACAAAAAAAAGACTAACCACATACAGTGACAAACAGTCTGCCCTTGGAGCCAGCACTATGGTTCGTGCTGTGCTCCAGTGCAGCGCCTGGTCCACACTCAGCCTTCTGCAGCCAGAAAGAACTTAGCTGACTTTTTTCCCCCATCTTCTTCGGTATCAGTTTGAGATTCCTCCCTCCCTCTGGTATCAGCCTGGCCTCACAGTGCCACACTGTGCTCCACCCAGGTCAGAAGGGAGTGGTCCCGAGCAGCATTTGGCCTCTTTCCTTTGGAATCCCCCTAATAGACCACAACCACCCCCACACTGAGCAATGGATCTGAGTAGTTACTGCTGGCTTTTTATTTCCTAGTGAAATTTTTCCATTTCCTAATTGTACCAGGTAGCCTTAATGCAGCCTGGGATAAGCAGCTTTGCAAAGGGCACAGTTTGGCAGGTGGGACAGCAGCTAAATGCCAGCTAGTCAAAGGTGAATTCCTGGGCACTGAGGTGCTCTTCTGCTCTGATTCCATATTTTTAATCCATTCCATTGACACCTGCAGTGAGAAAGCTGCCTAGGCTTGGATTGCCTCCTAGGGATGCTAAATGATAGGATTATAGAACGGTTTGGGGTGGAAGGGACCTTTAAAGATCCTGCAGTCCAAATAACATCCTGCCCAAGCACTTTGGGATTCCATTACCTTAAATTTTGTTTTTCAAGGGAAAAATAGTTGTTAAATAAGGAAAAGAACCAGCTGCACCACTGAGCAAATCTGAGCTTACACTGTGCAGTAGCTTGGCAGCTCCTTCCCCCACAGTCCTGGTATTTCTTGTTCTCAGCAACATTTGCCATTTAATTTGTAAAGTTTCCCAGTTAAGAATGACTTTCTTTTTTTCCCCCCTTTTTTTGCCTGTTCTGACCTGGTTCATTTCTGAGAGCAGAGAAAATTCTGATCTCTCTAATTAAAAGCTCATTGTTGCCCTTTTGCTGGTTTTAATAAGTAATCTCAGTCCACAGTAACAATTATATGTTCAGCAAGCTTTCCTCTCTATATATTTCTGCTCATGGCAACATTTTACCACTCATCATCATAAAAAGACTGGTTCATGTCCCATGATATTTGAAAGTTGGTCTTTCTTGACTAATAGGTAGCAAGTGCAGCTGGAGGCCACCAGAAAGGCCAGTAATGCACAGTTCATCTCAAAATCATTGTCTGGTTGTTATCTGTGTTAGTACCTCCATCTGCAGGAGGCTGAGTGTTTTGCCTGCTGTGATTTTAATCCACTTCTTTGGGGTTGCGGTCTGTATATCTGGCAATTCAGAGTCCAAGCAAGTCAGTGAGGCAGCAGACCACAGAAAATCAAGGCTGCTGAAAGTCATGACCATAGTATGACACCAAAGAAAATCATAAAATCAAAGAATCAACTCAGTTGGGAAAGACCTTTAAGATCAGCAAGTCCAATGATTACTCCAGCTCTGG